ATATACGCTTTTCAATATTCCAAGCTTGCCTGCTGCACTGGGGACATCACATGCATGTGCGAGTCGTACAAATTATGAAAATAAATCTAGGAATTATTTGATTGTTGGATTTTAAATCAGCGGGGTTGCGGCATCAAAAGTAACTAAGCTGTTTTATGGATGGCTAGACGTCTAGGCTATATTTAGACGTCTAATAGACGTCTTTTAAACGCAAAATTGCTTGCTGGGAAGTAATATTATTACTGAAATCTTATTAGTAACTACTTACACTACTAGTTACTACAAAAAGTTATATTATTACAGTAACTAAAATACTAGTAACTAGTTACTGCCCAACACTGACGGTCAATAACACCAACCTATTTGCTCGTCGTTATCTTCAGCTTTCGTTGTGCACTCATCTGGACTAACGCTATCTTCATAACCCATATCTTCACTCTCCTCTTTAATGAAATCCATCTTTACAGCAGTATCTTGCACAGATTTCAGTCGCTTTACGTGGACTTATTCATGCTCGTTTGGAAGCGGAAGTTTGTCGCCTTACAATGATGAGAATATTCCCAGCATTTTTGGCACTGAATCTTTATAGTTTTTTTGTAATGCGGATCTCCATTCGAATACTGGACGCTCCTGCTGGATGTTCTTCGTCTTTTGAGTTACTGGCAGAATTGAGCGCCATATACATATACCGCCACCTACTGTTTATTAATGCTATATGCAGCATATCTATATTACAGCTTGTAATATAGATATATTTTTCTCTACCATTTTTTCCCTGACTGCTAAACACAAACTAGTCACATGCTCACTGCAACAGCTTCAGCAATATCACTGAGAAAACTTTATTTAGTTGTTGTTTCTACTTCATGTTTTATATGATATGTTAACGTGCGCCTTTTTACTTTTTTAATCTGAAGAATTTTACTCCCCATGACGCAGGAAAAGAGCTCATATATTTGTGGCTTCAGTCCGTTTCTCCGAGAAGCGTTTCCGTTTCCTAGCAACCATAAAATCGCATGTGAAACAAATCGATCACTGCTGTATAGTACATAATAACTGCCATTTATTATGAATGTGTGGCATTTAGTTAAGTTTGATTTATTTATTTATTTGTCTGTCTGTCTGTCTGTTTGTTTTCAAACGATTAATTGTAGCCTATTTATTAGAAACAGGTAAAAGCCTTTAGCTATAAAGGAATTAGCAGCGCAAACGTTCTTAAAGGTGCAATAGGTGATTGTCTTCAGAACATTTTTTGTTATGCTCTTCACTTCTCTTCACATCCCGATAGCAAGCATTAAGTTAAGTGGTCTAAATGTATTTATCTGTATTTATATATTCTGTGGAAGGCGTAGGACCAAGAAATGTTTGTCCAATCAAAACGCTTGGTCCGAACATTTTAATTGGCTTTCTTACATGCCTGTCAACGTATGCAGGGGCATAATTTCCACTGGGGACTTTTCAAAATCACGTTTGTGTCCCCCCCACTTTCAAATTAGTTTATGATTTTTTTAACCGCACGCCGTCATCGCCACGGAGGAGCAGGACACAGACGCACGCGTCCGCGTCCAGGAACGTAGTCTCGTGCACACTGTAAAAATAGCTCACTGAAAGTTCTAATGAGCAGGTATCGCGTGCGGCACAGTCAGCGATGAAACGCCAGAAGCAGCAACAGATGACATAATGTCATCATGGATGAAAAGAAAGAAAGAAAGAAAGGAGGTGTGAGTTGGTTGATTCAGTAAATTAGCTCAGGTCAGGATAATCATATTTTCTGTCTACACCTGTTAATGTTAGCCTACGTTGACTGAGCTAACGTTAACATACACTGTTGCTAGGTAACAGACTGTTGTTAGCTTAATATTTAATGTAGAACAGTGGTTCCCAAACTTGGATACGTGAGGCGACAGAGGGCGTACGCGAACAAAATGCTGAGTTTTGAGGCGTTTCGTGAACGAATCGTTCGCAAAAGTCATTGATTCAATTATTCATTTATAAATACAGCCACTTGCTTAGTTACTGAATGAACAAATGACTCGATGACTCACGCATTAAGACAGTGACTTACCGCCACCTACTGGCGGTTTTTAGTATTTAAAAGAATCACTTTTCACTTTTTTATCATCATTGCATATTAATCTATTGAACTTTTTTTTTTAAACATTAATATTCTATTTATAAAGATAAAAAATGCATTGGAAAGTCAATTTAGGGGGCAAATATTGTCCTTTAATGGAAAAAGTGCAGTCTAATTAATTAATTAATAAGTGGAAGAGAGGGGGTACGCAGAAATGCCTCAGGGGGTACTCCACTCTAAGAACCACTGATGTAGAACATTCTGTCCTGTGCAACAAGTGATTTATTTTATATTTTCAGGTACAGCGGTTAGTTTGAAATAAAAGTTTGTTTAACAGTGGAAATTGCTGACTAACTCATAGTGATTAGTCACACCTGTTTCCAAATACACATTTACTCACAGCCACAGTTTAAAAGGACTTTGATTCATTCAGCTCACTGCGAAGTATACGCTAAGTTGCTTTTGTCTCTGTGCTTTATCAAGCTTTTGTATCTTGTTTGCTTTTGATCTCGACCCATTTTTTGTACTTTGTACTCGATTCTAGCCGGTCCTACGATATTCTGTTTGTTCACCGCCTGACCATTTGTACCTCCTTCATTACATGACACACTGGTATACACAAATAGCACACTTCGGGGTCCAGGCGGCACTTAGGTGTTGTGCTGCATCACATTACTTGATGTGTTTGAGAGTTTTTTCTTAAAGGGGTCATAGGATGCTACATGCACTTTTACAAGTAGTTTGAACTGAAATGTGTGTTGGCAGTGTGTGTACACAACCACCCTATAACAACCTGTGTCACTTCTATGCTCTGATTTGAAGATTTTATCCTAAGCCTTAGCAATTAGATTAAAAGAGGCGATTGGTTGGGTCATCCGTGTGGACCGGACATACTGTGTACTACCTAATAGATCTATTTTTGATAATATTTATTTAATTAATTAGAGACATTTAGATATCTCTAGATCATTTGGTTTAAACGTTTTCCGCTTTCTCAAATCGAGCCGATCTCAGATGCCTGTCTGTGTGACATCACAAAAACAGGCCCCTCCCACGGTAATTGATTGACAGTAGCGTTTCAGCACAGACTGCACTGGTGTCTTACCTTAGACCCGCCCTGAGTGAGCTGTCATCAGTCCACCATTGTTTCACCGCTGGAGCAGATGTAGACAAGAATGACTCCTAAGCGTTTGAGGTGTTTTGTTGTTGGATGTAATAAAGAGCATAGCAGTCGTCATTTACTCCTGACATCTGAGCCGCTGAACTCGCAGTTGATTTCGTTTGTTTCTGAAGGGAATGCTCCCCCAATCTGCCTAAATGCGTCTATGTTCGCGCGAATCATTCATGATCCAGCCTCATCTACAAAAGTGAGTATAATGTTTTGTAATGAATCTTTGCAAATCGCCTTTCCTAATAATGTGCTAATTAGCAAGTTTCACGATGAATGAAATGGCTAAAGTAAACAGTCTCTCTGAAGGCGGGCGTACACAGTGTTTATCGGGAGGACGGGAGGTGCTCGTAACGTCTCAGATCGGCCGTAATTCTTCTCACACGGTACGAGCCGCAACCATGCGAGCATCTGCGATTTTCTCCCGAGAGAAAAAAATCGCCTGCGAGCTTGTACGACAGCAAAAATCGCACCGTGTACACCCGCCTTGAGAGCAGCTCGGAAGAGAGGGGCGGGGTCAGCAGAGCTTATTAACATTTAAAGGGAAATGCTACAAAAACGGCTTGATCTGAAAAGAGCCGTTTTTCACAGGGTAAAAAAAAAGGTGTTTTTACACTACCATTGAGAAATTTTAACCAAACTATGTTACAGACTTTTCATTAAGACCCTAAAGAATCATATCAACTTGTGGAAAATGGGCATCATATGACCCCTTTAATATTGTGTTTGGCACACATTTTTACTCTTAACAATTCTCAACATCTCTTAACAATGTTTTATTTTTTTTCTTCATCGTAAATAAAAGCACTGTTTTCAGTCTGTTACGTCCTCTTTATTTCCAGGTTCAACAGTAAACTTGAGATTTAATGGGATCATCTTTGCTTTCGGGAGGAAGTCATTAGCTCCACTGGAAACGAGAGGTTAAAGGAGGCATGCAGGCACACTACGCCCCCTGGAGACTACGGAGGACTTTTCCCATAATTACTAACTCACCTTGGAGCTTTCATAATTGTTATTAATTAATTGTTAGATGCTAGTCTTTATAAGCTAATGTATTTTGACAGAAATGGAATGTGATCTCTTGAGGAGTATTGTCAATAGATGGACTGCTGCAAAAAAAAAAAATGGAAATGGAAATTTTGACCCTTGAGAGCTTTAGCCACAATTAATACTGCATTAAAGTTAAAGGTCATAACTCCCACTATTCACTAGGAAAAACTCCTACTAGGAATTTCTACTCAGGACTGCTTCCTCAACCCTGAGCGACATCAAATCAACACAAAATGTTGACAAAACCATAGTATTTCTCGTTTTAGTAAACCGTTATTCCTCTTAATCTACAGCAATTTGCCAACAATTATAATTATTTTTTATTAAAGATCACATCCTCTTTTTTAATCCCTTTACAGTTACATTTAAAGTTGTAGAACATCCACAAACCCAAGTTCAGATTCTGATCAGACTCAACTTTTTTTAAACACATTTAACACGTTAATTTTTATCATAAACTCTTGATTGAATGTCCTTATTGCATTCTGTTCATTCTCTGTCCAAAAAAGGCTCTCTTGTTCTCTTCATGCACTGATGAGCAACCATATGCAAACCAGATCTCATGTGAAAAGCAAACTGAAAACTGAAAATGAAACTTTTATTTATAATTTGAAAAAAAAGGAACAAACGCTGCAAAACATCTAGATTCTATAGTTTCATTTGAAATTTTTAAATGCTTTATTTACTAGAGTGAGCAACAAAGTAGAGCTCCACAAGACTCATTTCACAATAACAGAAGAACTTGTTTAAATGGACAACACACTCATTATTAAAGACAAGTTTTGTTCACTGAGGTGCATTATATATATTTCTCTCTTTATGCAACACATGAGAGGTGAAGCAGCACTGTGTGATCTCTCTACATGCACTGGTTCAGGCTGGTGCTCTGGCTCAGCGGTGTGGAAAGCGCCGGGTGACTCAGACGGCACGTGTAGGTTCTCCCGGAGCTCCAGCGCTGCTTACTGAGCTTCAGAACGCTGGTCTGGGAGAAGGTGCCGTCGGCCTGACGCTGATACGGAGCCGTCTGCACCTCGTCCCCCGTCACGCCGCTGCTGTCCTCAGACCAGGACATGGTGACACCGTCAGGGTAAAAGCCCCGAGCCACACACACCACACTGACATCACCCTCAGAGAGCGGAGAAGCAGGAGGAGCCAGCAGGAGCAGAGACGGAGGAGACGACGGACGAGCTAAGGAGGAATGAGTTTTAAAACTAGAATCAGTGAGAATGCCATCAGTGTTGATATGGCCATCATGGTTCAAATTTTATACAAAATTTAATTTCACAGCAAAAATTCTAAAATCAATCAGTTAATTTAATAAATTTAATTTTTTTTTTTTTTTTTTTTTTTTTTTTTTAAATGAAGACAGAAATAGAAACAAAAAATACAAATAGAAAGTCTGCATTTTTCTTTTTTTATAGTACATTAGTTCATTGTTTATTTTAAATAAATAAATAAATAAAAGTCATAGTGGTTATCTGTTACAAAATATAATTGAAATTTTTTTTTTGAAAAATAAACATGAAAATGAATTTATTAAATGATTACTGAATTATTTAAATTCAAACAATAATACCCTAAAATCAAAATTAATACGTTTTAATCAAATACAGTTTAATATAGTTGGTGAAATATGATTGGATTCTAATGGGACAATAACGTGGCCATTAAGTTATATTTGGGTAAAATCAAATCATGTTCCACCAACTATGTCTGTCTTCATGAAAATGAACAGTAATCCTATTTTTCAATAAGTGCAAAAAAAAGATTATGACTCACCGATCCTCAACTCGGTGCCTCCTCCGATGCTGCCATGGCACCGTGCAACAGCGTCGTACAAAAACCTGGTCTCCACAGCACACTGCTCCTGCTCACACTGAACGCCTCAATGTTCACAAAACTGAAGCTCAAAGTGGCAAATCAGGAGGAAATTTCATACATGTGGCATGAAAAATCGTAAAGAATGTTTTCTAATCATTCCTGCCTGGATTGAAGCTCCTGGACTGAATGGGACGGATCTTCAGGATGACTGGAACACTCTGAGGTTTTTGTACGAGTGACTCATTGAGCTGCAGCATTGTGATGGCTTTGACAAATGATGCAGCCGCAGTAATACACCGCTTCGTCCTCAGCTTCCACTCGGCCGATGTTCAGGTACTCATCCACACCACTGTCTGTGTATGTGAATCTGCTGGACAGACCACTGGCTCTGGTGCTATCAGCTAGTAAGAACTTTGGAGTATCTCCAGCTTTCTGCTGGTACCATGAAATGGCCCAGCTACCACTATCATCTCTCCTGCAGAGAATCTTTACATCTTGTCCTATGTTCACGTTCATGATCTTCTCCTGGGTCAGATGCACTATGGCCTCAAACCCTGGGAAAACACAAGAATCCCAAATATAAACATGTGATCCTGAGTTCTCTTCGATGGGATTTCCCATTGGACCCAACAACCACACACCAAGTTTATACAATATAAACATGATGCTTGATAGCACTTCTCATGCTTGACAATCCTCCAGTCTTTTTGCTTTTTAACCTTGTTTCTCTCAAATAAGCTGGACATTATGTTTACAATACTCATTATAATGTACAAATGGCTTCAGAGGGCAAGAGCCAAGCAGGAACTTTTGCGTTCATATTGGGAAACAAAAATGAATTGAAAAAATGTCTTACCCGAGAGAGAGAGGAGGAGTCCAGCGAGAGCGGTGGTGCTCAGGATCATCATGGTTACTGGTGGAGGTGATCGGAGATTAGAGACGAGTGTGTATCTTGTGCACTTATAAGGAGAGGCAGAACACTTGGTATCACACACACACACACACACTTTCACCACATTAGTGCGTCTCCAAATTTGCATGCATGTAAAAAAAATAAAATACATTTGGTGGGGATTGGTGAGGGTGAGGGAGCGGATAATAACACCAGAAATTTACTACATATTATTTAAAGACTATTAATTTCAAAGAATTCTATAAAATGGATCTTTTTTTTTTTTCTCGGGTCGTTGCTTTGAGAGTGGATTGTTTGCTGCTACATCACAGCGCTGTTGATTAATTATCTATAACAGCAGCTCTGACAGTGCAATAGGTTTATATTATGTGTGCTCGTTCTGATGTGTTTTCATTTCTATAGATTTTGATTTTAAAGCAGGTTTTGTAGGAGGAGTTTGTGCTTTGCAGTTTGTCGCCGACAAATTGTATTTGTTTTAATAAAAAGAGACAAAAAAAGATTCTAACTCATTTCACAGACTTTCCACGCACCCATTAAAAGATATGATGGGTTCATTAGTAAATAATGATGGTAAGGATGGGAAATTTGTGTGGTCTAAGAGGAATAAAACACCTCAGGATGTGTGTTGATATAGGAAAATAAAAAAAACTTTCTGGCATGACTGTAACAGCACGCCAGCTGATGATTCATTTCTTATCATAGATGCTGAAAAAAACGAAACAAAATCAATCATCAATGCTAATAATCTTCTTTTATTTCATTTTCTCCCCTGAATATCTCAGTGTTAGCACTTCGCTACTGGATAATATGGTGATACTAAGAGCTTCAGTAGTTTTCAGATACTGTAAAAGTTTCATTTTAACAATGAGATGGAAAAAATAAATAAATACAAAAATTATCTGTATGAGAACCAACCAACATTACAGGAATTTTGTCTATTAGCTTTGTTTCAGAGGTGCACACTGCTGTCCGTTAGACCTTCATTGGTGAAAGCAGAACTCTATTAATAGAGTTTCATCTGGAGGCCATGAATTTGCTTATACTTTCTGTTCTGGCTTTTTTCGTTTGAGCACGGTTGACTTTTTCCACTAGTGCGCTTCGCTTCACTGAACATTAAATCGCATTTTATATCCACAGCTTTTCAAGAAACTCACACACATAATCTGACCTGATGGTGGGAAATGAGTCGTGTTTGAGAGCCCAAAAATTACTCGTTCTGTTCATTCATTCAGTCATAAGACAAGAAATTAGAGCAAATAGTCAACTTGTAGCTTGATTACGTGCCTTTCATACCTAGCAATATCTAGTCTGTTAACAATTCAGACCAAAATACTAAGCTAACACTGGCTGAAAGTGAGTGGCTAACAGTTAGCATTTTGTATACTGAAATGTGCTAATTGCTGTAACTAGATTGTGGGATACAGTATAAGATTAAATATCTGTAATAAATGCTCTGTTTTTGGTCGAAATAATTCGGAAATGATTTATTCATCAGTTCCAAAAAAAAATTTAATTGTTCGATTTTTCTGATTTATTAAACAGCATGATGTGAATGCTGGAGTCATCGACAAGCTCCAGAATTCTTTGGATAAATAGGAACATTTTATTAACAAGACACAAATCTGATGATGAAAATGATTTCATTTCACAGTAAAAAGTCAGGCTGATTATTTATCTTAGATCAAACACTGTACTTAATCTGTGGCATAATTATATTTCTGTCATGACAACTCTCGGAGGGATTGGCATGGTAATGTACATGACAATGTTAATGTATTTGGTCTTGGCGGAATAGATCTGCTACGCTGCTGCTGCGGCAGAGCAAGTACCGAGACTTGCTACTGCCAATACATCCACAACATGCTGCTGTGAGCATGTAAGAAATACTGCTGCTGCACATATAACATACATTAAATAACCCCCATATAGCATACATGAATCACCTCGTAGCAGATCTATACAGGTGGAGCTGGGGAAGGTGGAGGGTAAACTAAAGCCAGGTATTTGAATATTGAGGAGTGAGCTCATTGGCTACCGATACAGGAGAGAACCAATCAGCTGCCACATGTGAT